ACTTTTGTAGTATTAGGGACTGAACCCAAGGCCTCAGCACTGACCTACATCTCTACTCCTTTTTTATTTTGTACTTTGAGACAGGGTCTCGATAATTTGCCCAGGCTGGGTTCGAGCTAGCAATCCTCCTGCCTCAGCCTCTCAGAGTGCTTCAATTACAGGTATGTGCTACCATGCCTGGATAGCGAACCATTAACACAAACCTTTAGGAGAAAAAAATATGGGAATAATTTATGACCTCGCATTAAATCTTAAGGCCGCTCCAAAAATTAAACACTAAGGGTCTTAAAACCTCATAAAGATAATTTACTATGGCAGCTCTAAAACTTTTTGGAAACACCTTCAAAAGTTTGGGGCTGGGGATTTAGCTCAGCGGCAAAAGCGCCTGCCTGGCAAGCGCAAGGTGGTGAGTTCAGTTCCTGGTACCGGAGAAAAACCAAAAAACCAAAAAACAAAACAAAAGTTTGATAAAAGCCTTCTTCTCCAAATTTGCCCACATATAAAACTTTGCATGTTACTTAAGGAACCCCATGAAAACCCATGCGTAACTCTTCTCACAGTGAACTCACTGCCCCAATAAAGACTTCTTATTTTAAAGTTATTATCAATTACAGGAGATTTTTCTCCTTTTGAAAGCACGGTTCCCTTACATTTACATCTACGAACTTATAAAAATTGTATTTATAGACAATTATACCTTAAAAGTACACATCTTGAGCTGGAGTGCAGTTGTTCAGTGCTAAAGCACTCAGCCAAGCACATATGAGGTCCCTAGGTTCAATCCCCAGCATTACAAAAATACATAAAACATGTCCCATACCCTTTAAACTCTTATTGCAGTAAAAACTCTGGTGTCCTTTATATACCAATACTAAGAATGCTTACAAAATGGTGGCTGCCAGGCACGGTGTCACACACCTGTAATCCCAGCACTCGGGAGGCTGAGGCAGGAGGATCACAGTGAGTTTGAGGCCAGCCTAAGCTACATAGTAAGATCAAGGGCAGCCTAGATTACATAATGCGACCCTGTCTCAAAAAACCAAACCAAACCAAATGGGTGTCTATTTTCATAGACATGTAAAGTATGAAGAGAGCATTCCAAGATACTATAAAGGCCAATGACCTTAATATGTTTACAATCTACTTGTATAGTCTGTTTTTTATTTTAATTCTTTCAACAATTATTGACCCTTTTCGAGAGGAAAAAACAACAATAATAATAGGTCTGAATTCCACAGATAAGGAATCCTATAGAACAAAAGACCAAAAAATAGAACCACAGAAATTAATGGAAAAGATGTGATGGCAGGACTGTATTTGTAATATTATCTGTTAAATGCCAGGTGTGGTGGTGCATGCCTGTAATCTCAGCACTTGGGAGGCTGAGGCAGGAGGATTGCTTCGAGTTTGAGACCAGCCTGGGCTACAAAGTGAGCTCAAGGCCAGCCTGAACTGCATAGCGAAACCGTGTCACGAAGACAAAAAAAAAAAAAAAACAAAAAAAATATATATACAAATATATATATATAATCTGTTAAAATGTCTTTGATTACCAGATATATCTAATATTGAACAAGCTGTTGTATGAGGCACAAGGATCCCAAAGTCAAACCCATGCTGAGCAATATACCAAGACCTTGTCTCAAAATAAAATTTAAAAAAGGCAGGAGGGGCTGTAAACGTAGCTCAACACTCTGATCAAACCCCTAATTGGAGTAATGTGCAAGGAACTTGGTTCCACCCCCACCCCTGCAAAAAAAAGTTACTGTAGACTTTTTTTTTTTGGTCCTTTTGAGACTTGGTATGCAGTTCAGGCTGGCCTCAAACTCACGGCAATCCTCCTGCCTCAGCCTTCTGAGTGCTGGGATCACAAGTGTGTGCTACCACACCAGGCCAAACTTCGAACTATTGAGATAGCCAAGAAAGTATGCAGTTAGAGAACACAAAAACATGTGGTTCCCTAAGCACTTCCATCATCTTACTCACCCATGGAAGACATCACTCCTAATCACTTCACACTTTCTCCACAGTCAACTTCTCAAATCATCTCCCAGTACAGAACAAGCTGGGGCAGGCAGGGAGATAGGATCACAGTGAGTTTGAGGCCAGCCGGCACTGCACAGTGAGTTCAAGGAGGCCAGCCTGCACTACTGAGACCTTGTCACTCAGTGGGAAGACCCTGGATTCAATTCCCAATACCAGTAAACAAGGCCAGGGATTATAAGCAAACTTATCTGTTGTCTTTGATGACTATTTTCCAAATAGTCTTCAAATCAACTATATGAACAACCAAAAACATATACATTTACTGTTTAATACATTTATAATGAACATTGTTTTCCAAATGCAATAAACTGCTAAAATTTAAATTTTTTCTCTCAAAGAAAATACAATATGGTCAAAAGAACTTTAATAAGGAAAAGTTACTGTTTTAAAAATCATAAACTCAAAACAACATCATAAATTCCCCCTCCCGCTGTGTGGTGGTACATACCTGTACATAATCCCAGCTACCCTGGAGGCTGAGGCAGGAAGATCACAAGCTCCAGGCCAGCAATGGACAATTTGGTGAGACCCTGCCTCAAAATTTAAACGGACCGGGAATGTACGTTGGTGGTACAGTGCTTGCCTAACATGTGGGAGACTGTGGGTTCAATCCCTAGCACATACACAAAAAAAGTAGCCCTCCCCATTAGTGAGCTCTATGAAACTAACCGTATTTTTTGGCAGTTTTGTTATGTTTGCAGTAACAGGGATTGAACCAGGGTCTCACTGAACTACATCTCTAGCTCTAGCACCTCATTTCTGACCCACTGACTACAAATACCAGGGATAGTCACTTTTTCTGAATACCATTAAAGTTAAAAAATTAAAGTTCTACTCATTAATGGATGAAAATACTGCCATTGTGTAAAAAACTAGTTTTATATTGAGTAAAAAAAAGAATCACTAATCTTGTTCCTACGGTTTAAAAGAAAACTGTGCAGGAGCCAGGCATGGTGGTGAATGCTTGTAATCCCAGCACTCTGGATGCTGAAGCGGGAGGATTTGTAGTTCAAGGCCAACTTGAGCTACATGGTGAAACCCTGGCTCAAAAATATAAACAAAGGAAAAAATAGTCAACTTTAACAAAACACTACAAGGAGTACATGTGAGTTGTCCCTTCCTTCCAAAACGAATTTAAGACCCCAGAGGGAAATAAATGATCGTGTAATGCTTATAATCCCAACACTTCAGGAGGCTGAGGCAAAGAGATGGCAGTTAGAGAACCTGGGCAATTTAGTGACTGGGCAAGACTTGTTTCAAAAACTAAAAATGGTTGGGGATATAGATCAGTGTGAAAGCCCTGGGTTTAATCCCTACTGTAAAGGGGGGGGGGGATAGATCCAGGATCACATTACAGTGGGTGACACTTAGCATTAAGTAGTGTAAACCAAAATAAAGAACTGCAGACTGGGAGTAAAGCTCAGCAGCACTGCAAATGCCTGGCAAGGGCAAGGGCCTGAGTTCAATTCCCCAGCACCAAAAAAAACAAAAAAACAAAAAAACAAAAAAAAACACCTGAAAGATATATACTGTAGTATTGCCAGGTGTGGAGATGCACACCTATAATCACAACACTCAAGAGCCTGAGGCAAGAGGATAGCCATGATAGTCAACGCCAGCCTGAACTATACAGTGAGACCCTGCCTCAAAAACAAAAATGTATTATGGTATTGCCAGGTGTGGTAGTACACAACTATAATCCCATCTACTCTGGAGACTAAGGAAAGATCTCTAGCTTAAGGCAAGCCTGGGCAACTGTGGGAGAACCTATCTCAAAAATCAAATTTTAGTAGGGCATGATGGCACACACCTGCAATCCCAGCAGTGGAGAGGCAGGAGGATCCTCGTGAGTTCAGAGATCAGCCTTAACTGCATGCAAAAAACTGTCTCCCTCCTGAAGCTGAGACAGGAAGCTTGTAGTACGTTCAAGGCCACCCAGATGTATAAAGTGAATTCAAAACCGGGCGTGGTGACGCACGCCTGTAATCCCACTACAGGGGAGGCTGAGGCAAGAGGATCCTTGGGAGTTGGAGACCAGCCTGGGCTACAAAGTGAGCTCAAGGCCAGCCTCAACTGCATAGCGAGACCCTGTCTCAAAGAGACCGAAAAAAAAAAGTGATGGTGAAGGCCAAGGCCGGTAATCCCAGCACTCGAGATGCTTCGGCACATGCCTGAACTTCACAGTGGGACCCTGTCTAAAAAACAAAACACCGAAAGTGAGTTCAACTTGAACTACATAACCTGTCTTCCCCGCCCCCGCCAAAAAAAGAACCTAAGAGCTGAAACTCAGGAGTAGAGCACTTGCCTAGCAATCCTAGCAATTCTTCCCTTGGGTTCCACCTCCGAGAGTACGTCCCCAAAACCAAAACTAGTAAATTTAAAATGTGTTGGCCCGGCGTGGTGGCGCATGCCTGTAATCCCAGCCTCAGGAGGCTGAGGCAGGAGGATCATTGCGAGTTCGAGACCAGCCTGGGTTACAAACTGAGCTCAAGGCCAGCCTGAACTGCCTAGCGAGACCCTGCCTCAAAAAGACAAAATAAAATAAAATAAAGTAAAATAAAAAATAAAGTAAAATAAGACGAAATAAAATGTGGCCACGTTGCTAGACTGCACAAGGAGCATAAACACAATCAACCTTGCTCTTTCATAAGGCAAACTATTTCGGGTCGATAAACACCACACTAATCAGTAAGAGCTGATGTCTGGGCGGTTATGGTGGAAAAACCTTCAGGGACAGACAGTAGTGTTCATTCAGCCTATGTTTACAGAATAGCTTTTTTGAGAAATCTTTTTACCGGCACTAAGTAGTAAACAGAAGTGCACCTACTTCGCAACACCCATCTGATGGGTGGGGGTCTAAAAACTTAAGGTTCTCACAGACAGGGAAGCAAGCGGCTGGGCAGAAAGCGCAGACACGACCAGAAGGGCAGGCGCGCGGGCCGCGCCGGGCTCACCTCCTGGATGCGCCTCCGCGCGCGCTGCAGCACCTCCTCGTAGCCCTTCTGGCGCAGCTCGCTGAGGCTCTCGTAGTACTCCTCGGGGTCGTCGGGCTCAGTGAAGAGCACCTGGGACAGGATCTTCCAGCCGCAGGTGTCCAGGCCGTGGCCCAGGTAGACCTGCAGCTGGTAGCACAGCGCGTCCACCTCCGGCTCGCTCATCTCGGGCGCGCCCCCGAACAGCACGGTCCACATGCCCGAGGGCTCCTCGGGGAACACGGGCAGGCAGGGCTCCAGCTGCGAGTTCACGGAGCACAGCTGCTGGTGCACGGCGCGCAGGTCCTGGAAGGAGAAGAGCCCGGCCCAGCTGCACTCCTCGCCCGGC